GCAGAAGAAGTTTGCTCAGTCAATTGCTCAAATGCCTGAAAATCAACTGTACTAGGTCAAAAGTCAATTGTGGCCCACATACAGTCAAACTTCAAGATTTTTGGTCAACATCCTCATTTTGAAGTATTATCCATCATTTGATCAAGGGTTGATCATGATTCCTCAAGGATTTCTCACAATTCATCAAAACCCAAAAGTTGCTAAATTAGGGTTTTGTAGGAAAAGTCAACTCAACTTTGACCAAGCATAACTTTCTCATGCTTGATCAGAAATGACCCATCCAAAGCTAATTTTGAAGAGGATGCAATTCCCTAGAATTCATCTTCAGCTCCCAAGTTCAGAATATACACTCACAAAAAGATATAAAATTTGACATTATAGGTCATTTTGAAAGGTCAACAAAAACACCTTTGGGGTCAAAGCTTCATACATGAACATGGAAGACTCAATTGAGATGAGACCAAAAGGGTTGCTTATAGGACATCCTAATCTTTCTAAAAAGTCCAAGAACACCTCTTTAGGGTCAAAATTGAGAGAGTTATGCATTGGCCAAGTTGACCATTTTTGCAAAATTGCCAAAAGTCAAATGTGATCAAATTTGCATCTTTTGCTAAATGGGCCCAACTTTTTATGCTTGCACCTCAATTATAATGTGGTCCACGACTAAAATACTTATCCACAAATTATTTGCTTCATTTTTCAATTTATTTTGATTTTTCATTAATTAAAAAGTGAATTAAATAAAATAAATGATGAAAAATATCAAAGATATGATTTGATTTGTTTTTTGACAGGTTAGCAACCAAGATATGCTGAGCTTGCAAGATCAATTCGAATCAATGGCAATTGGTACAAAAAGAGCATGATTGGCATGAAAATAGAAAGATATCATATGGCTAAAGAATCAAATCAAATATCATCAAAGCTTAAAGATTCAATCTGTTATGCAACCTTAATTCATTGAGGGATATGTAATGAACAAGAACAAAGCAAAAAAGAGAGGTTGGCAGTCGGGAAAACACCAAAAGAAAACTAAAAATTTTGCAATAAAGTGGTGATCGTTCTTGGACCTAGAGAGTGATTCAAACCATTCTAAGGCTACCAATAGACTCCTGGACATCTCCATAAGGGATCTCAATCAATTGCAAGTATTTTCACGTCCAGAATCGTAAGCTACAGGCACCACGGTTTGCCTAAAAACTTGATTTTAATTTCATTGATTTACTCATCATAAGCATGTTTTAATTATATATTCTTGTTCATCATTGAGTTTGCAAGATATTGGTACCACTTAATTGTATTTACAGTGCATGAATCACGATATGCCATTGTTAGGGTTCCTCTGCTCGTTTTAAAGGTTTTTAGTATATGCAAAATTAGGCCTGGATTCTGGTACCATGATGCTCGTGAGGATGAGACGAGTTGATTAATACCCTTACCTTTCATTTATATTGCTTGTATAGGACTTTTGAATGTCACAGTTTGTAGCTACAACAAGATGTCTGTAGGTAAAAGTCTTGTTGCCTAAAATGACAGTCTGGAGAAGAAGAAGCTTGCGTGGCAGCGTGTGACTCGTCCATTTGAATTTTCGCACATTTTCTGAATACATTATTTGTTTTGATTATATTATTTTACTTCTATTATGTGAATAACAAAAGCGCGTAGCACAGATGGAAAGCAGGCACTGGGGGCGAGCATGAGGACCTGGGTTCGATCCCCATATCCCAACCTTTGTTTGTATTATTTTGCTTCATGTGATCAGGTACACTACAATCTCAAGCGCCCACCATATGCCATCAATATCCAACCATCAGATTCATCAGCAAGCTAGATCTAATGTGCCAGCATTGAAGGACCATGATATGCACTCAAGTCAACACCTCACCAAACCAGGCGTGGTCAAACAAGCTGGGGTTATTTGGGCCACAAAAATCAGATATGCACCCCCCATAATTGCTAACAATCAGGCCCATCTCTAACTTGTTTTTATTTCTTTTCTTTAATTCTTTCAATATTTTTTTTAATTATTTTAATTCAGAAAATTAATTACTATTTTTTCATAAAATCATAAAATCAAGAAATCATAAAAATTAGAATTAGATTTTTTATCAAAATTAATTTTGTTAATTTAATTTAATTTAACTTAGGGCAATTTTAACTTGTTTTTTTATAATTAAAACTAATTAGCAAATTAGGTCAACTCTTGATTTAATTTTTATTTCTTTCTCAAATAAAATAAAAATACAAAAATAGGTTAACTTAATTATTTTTCTTAATTAAAATCAATTAGAACTTAGGATTTTCTTTTTAATTCAATTATTTCCTTATTTTCTCAAATGAACAAAACATGACAAAAAAATATTTTTTAATCAATCGCAAGTAGGATTAGTCAAAGGGTCAAAACCCTAATCGTTTCACATTTAATTCTCTGCGCGCTTGTTATTTATTTTTCCAATATTTTGTAACTGTTCATGGCTTGTAATAGTTTAATTTAGGGTTTTATTTACTGTTAAATCCCTGGGCTTTTTGGCTATGTAATTAATCCCCCTCCCCGAAGCCTTGTAATAACGTAGATTTATTTTCTCGCATTTTTAATTCTCGCAAATATTTAACTGTCTAGATGTATGCTAATAGGATTGTATGGCAAGAATGCATGACAAATTAATACAGTTAGAAAATCCTAATGTGCAAAGATAAATAACTGAAACAAATCACTCGCACATGTCACTCTTAGGGTATACTCTCACTTCGGTTGCCTTCGGTAAACGATCATCAAGCATAGGGTGTCTTAGTAGTTTCCCTCCAGTCTAAAAAGATCAAAATGTCCCATTCGAATGTTGCCTCAGAAATGTTGCCTCGGAAATGTTGCCTCGAAAGATCTTAAGACTCTAGGGTTATTACTAAGGTACCCTAACATTGCTTTAGTGATCGTACATCCCTTTCGAATTGACCCTTACAAATTCCAACGACGGTGCTACCTATTTCTCAATAGTAGGATAGTGCTGTCTAAAGGAAACAAGAATAGAAACAATCTTTTTTCGAGTAGGTAGATGCTAGTAGGTACTTGCTCAAATCAAAACTTTTCACACTTACACTTTTCAAACAAACTTTTCAAACTAAAGTTTTCAAAACACTTCGTCACACTCTTGAGGACTGATACAAGGGTTATCACGAAGTAAAACTTTTCAAAACAAAGCACACAAACATAAGCAATTTAAAAATGAGCAAGTACCTAAGAGCCCATAGAAAACCATGGATAAAAAGGGTGTTAACACCTTCCCTTTCTATAATCTACCCCCCGTACTCAAAATCTCGAAAAAGGATTTTTCTGTACTTTTTTCCTTTTCCTTGTTAGATAAAATAAAAGTCGGTGGCGACTCTTGCTTACCGCGACATTTTGCAAACACAAAACGCAAAATGCAAACTAGTAAAAATAGTCGATTCTGCCACCGTATCACGGGGTGTTACATAAATCCCGAGTTGTTTAATTCTTTCGCTTTTTCACCTATCCACTTAGTTTCTTATAGGCACATAAAATTGATCTTCCTCCTAACCATAACGTCAATTATTTTCATAGATTTTTCAATAAGTGTGCCTATATTTCATGATCCAAAGCTAATCCTTCTCTCATGAACTAACTTATTTGTATACACCCGTTCGGAAAAATGTGGGAACCCTTACTTATTTTTCACTACATTTGGGCGACGATGCAACGACCCTTGCTATTTTGACACTGTACTCGAGCCATACAACATGTTACTTACAGGAAACGACCTAACATTCACATTATTTCGTAGTTGATCCATATTATAGAGATTCAACAATGTTTTACGTTGGTTGTGGACTGCCTAACACAATTCTCTCCTTTTATCCGGGCTTAGGACCCACTATGTATAACAAATCTGACCTAGACAAGATTAAGAGAGATACACACAAGGACTTCTTAGGAGGTCACCCATTCTAGTACTACTCACACCCAATCACGCTTATGTGACTCGACGTACTCCTTACACTTAATACTAACATTTTTGGAAATATGAAACAAACACAACAAATGAGTTGATTTTGGAAACACTACTTCCACAACATTCATCAATGCTAGTTCACACCCAGTAACCAAAACATGCGGTAACAACTTCTTGAATGCGAACAACTCTTTTAGCCTGTTGAAGTTTTATTGAAACTTTTCCAAAAAATCGGTATACAACAACTTTTCTTGGATTTTTAGAAATCCTCGATCATAAATGGTAAATTTGCAAAACGTTTCTGAATTTTTGCTAAATGTCCGGTAAAATTGTAAAATGTTTCCGATTTTTTGCTAAATGTCCGATAGAATTGCAAAATATTTTTGGATTTTTGCTAAATGTCCAATAAAATTGCAAAATATTTTCGAATTATTGCTAAATACCCGGTAAAATTGCAAAATGTTTCTGGATTTTTATAAAATTTCCAGTAAAACTTCAAGAGGTTTTCGAATTTTTCTAAATATCCAGTAAAATCTCCTGGATTTTTAAATTTCCGATGAAAATACTTAAAAACCTTTTCTTACAAAAAAAAATTTTGCACTGATTTTTTTTAAACAACTACTGAATTTAGGTTAATACCTGTTTTTATAGAGATAATTTTTTTTACACAATGTGAAAATTCGGAAGGTTAAAAATGCGAAGGGAAAATTTGTCATTATGAAAAAAATGTGGGGGTGTCAGGTGAAAATTGAGGTGTGAGAGGATGAAAAAGAGAAGGGCCATAAGAAAGGTTGAGGGCCATATAGGAAGAGATCCATCACACACAAGCGAAAAGAGGTGTAGCCCATACATACAGAAAGATCGTTTTCTGTCATGAAACCGATAACAAGCCAGAACAAGAGCCACCTCCGTCGCTCATCGCAAAGCGATTGAGAAAATCAAATCAAATCAAATCCCTAACAACAATAATTTCAATCGAATCGGAGCGTAACTCTATTGTAGTCTAGTGCATGATCTTAATCCACCTGAACAACAATGGGGAAAAATCAAGCCTACAAAGCTATGCAGAGAGCTAGGCTTGGCGGTGCCTCCGGCGGCCCCGACGAGGTTGAAGATGGCATGGTTTGTACTCTTCCATATCATGCTCTTCCAATTTCGTTCAATTGTTCCTAACACTCATCGATCTCCCCCTTTTATCGGCTATTTCCCAATTCCTTTTCGTAATTGTTGTTATATGAGTTTGTGCTTGGTTTTATTGTCTTTATATTAGGGATTAAAGCTAAAATTATTTGCATTAAGTATCATTGATAGCTTAAGAACCTTTATATGAGAATCATAAGTGAAAAAATAACTTGTGCAGTGAAATTTTAAGCCCCGGGCTTGAATCTCACCATGTTATTTGTTATTCTTGTCTTACTGCATGTGTGTATTATATTGTATTATAGGATTGTTTTGCATTATAATGCTCGAATTTGGATTCGTTTCTTTTCCTGGACCGTTATTGATGAGGACTGTCGCAGGTGGATGGTTCATTTCATTCTCCAGAGTGGCATGCTGCCCGTTTGGCTAGCCTCAAAACCTCTCACACGATCACCTGGGAAGAGTATAAAAAGAAACAAAAGGTAATCTCTTTTCACAAACCTTCTATATTTACTCTTACAAGTAAATTGGAAATACATTTTCTTTTCTTTGTTGGGAATTTATGATTTTGGCTTACAATGATAACAGTTAATTAAGTTTAATAGAGGGGAAGTGCTAATTTACATTTTATACCCTTTTACCATTTCATATGGCATTTAATGTAATGTAAGGTTATTTTAGTCAATGCCTTTAAGTTTATAAGCACATCTTCTCTCCTCTCCAATTTTACTCGTTCTTAAATTTCTTCTTCATTTACTTGTTTTATTTTCTACAATTGTCGGATTCATATTTTTAAACTTGAAAAGTTCAAAATGAGACAAAAATTGGTGAGTGAATCTTTTAGTAATGGGACTAAAATAGGGTTTTACACCATGGTTGTAAAGATCACAGTTTACTTGTTGGTTTGCACCTTCTATCGAGTTTTGTTGCACCACCCAACTCTGACCATGCTGGGGATTGTTACATTGCAAGACCAAAATAGTTTTGTTAAGGAATTATTAGAGGGCCGGAAAAGCCCTGTTGTGATGGGTTTAGCTAGCTGACCCATGTTGCACAACCTATACTTTAAGAGACCTGAAATCCCCTTTGCCCTCAACCTCTCCTAATCAATTGGCACACCTATACTCTCTACTTGATCCTTTTGACATGGATGCCCTCAACCTCTCATTCTCAGATTTGTTCTGGGTCTTCATTTTTTGAAATAGTAGAACCTCTCTTGATCTCTCCGTGTGTTTGTGTGGCTCACTTCCAATTTCAAATAATTATAATGATATTTAGATTTGGTTTTGAAAAATTAAGCACCTGTCAAAACATGGATTTCCTTGCCCCTATCATCTACTTCACTTATTATTTGGAAGAATTTTTAGTGAAAATGATCTCTTTGAAGTTTATTTTTTATCCTTCCCTTTGTAAGAGTTAACTTGAAATGCTAACTTAAAAGGCAGTTTGTTTCCTGGACTCAAAAGTTATTCTCAAGAATAACTTGCCCGGGAATATAAAGATTTATTCCTGGGTATTTTTGTTTAGAAGTGTTAAGCATACAATTGAATATTTCTAAGAAAATTATTAGTTATAGTTTTTTTATTAAGAAAAAACATAGAGAATTCCGGATTGCACATTTCTGCCTTCTCACTTGGGAATAAATTCACAGAGAACATATATTTTTCTCAACCCTGTAACAAAAATGGGTACGGTCGTTGACTACCCGTGTTCACAGGAATGTCATTCCTAAATATGAACAAACACTGCCTAAGGTTTAGATCATTAATCTTTCTACTTGTTTTTTTGTGTACCAATTTTTTTGAGCATTAGCATTGTTATTTAATTTGTGTTTGACTTGATTTGTTGTATTTTATTTAGGAAGAAGAACTGAAAAAGGGGGAGCTGGAAGCAGATGCAGATAGGATGATGAGGGAGTACAGGGCTCAACTAGATGCAGAAAGGGCTCTGAAACTTTCCCAGGGAAGAAATCACTCTAGTAGTAAGTCTAAACATTCAAAAGGTATGTGTGGTAGTTTGGTAAAGTTGCAGAGAACTATTGTGTTTTTCTAGCGGCCTTACCCATACCTAGTTTCTAATGATGAGTGTTGCATATTCTATTACACAGATAAAAGGGACAAAATTTCGAAGAAGCATAGCAGCAAAAAACGAAAGGTGCGTTTGATTTCCAACATTTACTCCTGGAGAAGAACCATAATATTTCTTTCAAAAACCATACTATCGTAACTACTAACTACCTTTTCAACTATTATGCAACTATGAACTCCTAGCTAACTTCCCTTTTAGTTTTTAGCAACCATAGTATCAAACTAGTTAGTGTAGGTTTAAATTGGCATTGATGTTGAAAATGTTGTCTAGGCTTGTGTGTATTTTGTTTCGAATCTCTTATAGGGCAAATAGGTTTAATTACAGACAACTCCTCTAATTTGTCAGTGACTTTCAACTTTCATTCACGGAAGTTAATTTATATTCCATAAATGGTAGGAATATTTCCTATATAACAAAGGGAGACTATATTATTGACAAGTAAACGGATGAAAATACATTAAGTAAGAGCTAATGCTCCCACCAAGGTAAATTCCTATGACCCCAGCTATAGCCAAAAATTGAAATGAAAAACCTATAACCCTTCTTGCCTTTGAACTTTGTATGGTAGATCTGCTTTATCTCCTCTTACCAACCTATCCTTCTCACTTTTTGTTTAAAGTTTAGTCCCTCTATTGAAGGGGAGCGTTGGCCCACACAAGTAGATCGTTTCGTTAGGGCCGTATCAGGCTCCTTTTTTATTTACCAGGTCAAGGAACCCATCAAACCACTCATCAATTCCATCAGCCTGAAAATCTGACTTGAGGCAAGACAGAATGGGAGAATATACTGATTACAAGTGTCATCTTCCTCCTCCCGAGGCTTCCTTCATTACCTTGAATCAGAGCCTTGTCGTTCCCTCCATGCAGATCTCTGCTTTTGATACTTAGTACTTGCAACTTAGGTGGACATCTTTTGAACAGTGAAGCATGTCTCCGCTCTAAATACCTATCTGTTAGGTTCATCGCTATTAACTGAATGCGATAATCTTTCACAATGAGCACGAAGGTACAGCCCCTGTTTGGCTGTGTCTGCTCGTCACACTTTTTCAAAGAGCTAATAGGGAGGCTGCTTATCATTGTTAGCACTGGAACCTTTAAGCACTCAGTGTGTGCTGCTGCAAGGGACTTGGTAACATCATTTGTATTGGATATAAATAACTCAGTTTGGTTGAATGATCATTGAACGGTATTTTCGTGCTCCTTTTTTTAAAAGTACCATGTGCTCCTTCAATAGCTAGTTTTGATATAACATTTGTTCCTAAATATAGGACCCCTTGGCCTTGAGTAAATTACAGGAAATAAGAAAGTTGGTTGTGATATTCAATTTGTTGACAATTGGTATTGGTTTTACAAGTTTATCCTTCAGGAGAGAGAGGAGAGAATTCGTTAACATTGTACATTATAGTATTCATTTATTATAGATTACAGATTGCAAAAAAGGATTTAAATTAATTTGCGGTATGTTGAAATAGTCAATACAATTAAAAATTTAAGACGGAATTATGTAGTCACTGTAATATTTTTTTTAAATGTCTCTAATTTCAAAATACTTAATGGCTTAAATATCAAGATGTATCTTTGGATTTACCTTTGTAAATCAAATTACAGAATTTATCCGTTAGAAATGAAGCTCTTCAATAGCTAGATTTTATTTTGTTTGAAAAAAAGAGTTAATACATAGCTTACCCTTTCCAATGTCTTGTCACTTTGTGGTCTGAAAGAAGTGGAGGTTTTAATGAAATGAATATTTTGGTTGGAAATAATTGATGTTACACTATTACTTGCCTTTCCTTTAAAATTTGAAGAGTTTACTTTTTTTTTAAAGGTCGTAAGTGGATTTTAAGTAGGCTTTCCCTTAAAAAGTTAATTCATTTATAATGTCTATGTGAAGAGTTTTTATATCGTCAATCAATCATAACCGTCGGATTATTAGATATATTTAACTTTTATAATAATCACTTCTAAAGTGACACATGATTAATTGTGATACGGTTACAATGTAAAACTTTTAACATTGATAGTGTTGTCATAATATTAACTTGTAAAAGGTTTGTCTATCTGAAATCATTGTTTATTGTAAAGGGCTTGTCATAATATTAACTGATAGTGTTGTAGCAAACTAGTTTATTTGAGTAAAGAACCAAATAATATCAATCAAAAGTTTGTTACTAATCATGTTAGTTGCAAATGTATTTTTTCCTACAAATTCTCATTACCTCTTCCATTGTAGCATTCAAGAAGATCTTCCCCATCAAGCTCCTCATACTCATACTCTTCCGGTAGTGAAGATGACGAAAGATCGTCAAAAAGATCCAAGTCTAGGTCTAAGCGATCAAAGAAGGAGAAGAAGTACAAGTCAAAAAGCAAGGATTCTGGATTCGTTAGTGAAGATAGTGGCGGACCAGTTCCTCTATCAAAATTCTTTGGGACATCAAGAGTTGATAGTGGTTAAAATACTAGGTTTTGTATCATAAAATTGTTTTTATGCAAATATTAATTACGGTCAGCTTTACTTTTATGATCAGCATATTTTTTTACAGATTTGTAATTTTATGTTATATTTTGTGTTCTCTCCCAAGAAGTTGATTGTGATTGTCTCTTTGGTTAATTGGTATGAGAAGAGAGATAGAACCGAGTTTTACTGAATTAAAATTGCACAATCCCATGATGTTTGACAAACACTTTTGGAAGAAGAGGATACATATAAACTCATCTTGACGTCACTGCAGAGCTAATCTTGATGTTATAATAAGAATAATTATACATTTTTAAATATTATACATTTTAAATATCATACGAAGTTGATAATCTGTTTTTTTCCGAATGCAAGCCTTAAGTTTAAAGTTAAAGCATCAATAATTTTGTATGTTATAGTAGTATATATTATGTTAATTAATATAGTATTTTGACCCGTCTTGTTATGCATGGAAATTAATTGATTTTAATATATAATTATAATAATATATCTAATAGTTATAAAATGTTTAAATAAATTTTAATATAATATATTCATCAATTTAAAAGAAATTAAATTTATTTGTAATTATAATTTTTTTTAATATTATACATATTCGGTCAAAATAATTATGAGAAATGACGGTTATTCCAGTAAAAATTAGTGATAAACTTATTAAAACATGTTAATTAAAAAAGAATTAACAAAAATAATATTGAAAATTACTAAACATTTTTATATTTGATGTCATATTTGATATTCTTTATTAATAATTTTTGTCAAACTGTAATTTTATTTTTATCCTTTGTTCATTTAAATATGGTGTGTTTTGTGGTTTCATTATTTACATAATGAACTCATGGTATTGAAGAGTCAAATCTAAGAGTTTGATTTTTTCTAGTTTGATACGATATCTTTAATGCTGATTTTTCACATATATTATAACTATAATAAAAAAATTATTAAAAAATATAGGAAAATAAATAAAGTAATATAATAAATTTTAAAAAATTAAGAATAAATTAAAAAAATTAATAATTTAGTGGAATAAAGTTAGTTTTAAGAAAAATTAAAAAGATAAACAATAAAATTAGAAGTTCTTGAGATTACAAAATGTAGTTTTGAATAATAGAAAAAAGAGGTAGTTAATTTGAAAACATGGGTTAAGAAAAATGTGAGTTAAATTAAAAATAAAATAAAATAAAAAGTTAGTGGAATAGCCTTTTCAAAAAACTAATAATTTAGTGGAATAAAGTTAGTTTAAGAAAAACTAAAAAAACAATTAAATTAGAAGTTAGTTGGATAAAATAAATTTTAAATAAATTATTACATAATTAATATAATATAATATAATATAATATAATAAATTTCAAAAATTGGAACAAATAATAATAAATTAATATGCAAAGTTTTACATATATATTTATAACTATAATAAAAAATTATTAATAAAAATATAGAAATATAAACAAAGAAATATAATAAATTTCAGAAATTTTTTCAGAAATTTGAAAAGAAATTAAAAAAATAATAATAACTTAGTGGAATAAAGTTAGTTTTAAGAAAAAATAAAAATAAAAACAATAATATTCAAATTAAAATTCACCTAAAGAAACATCATCCACGCAAACATTAATAAATATTATAGGAAAATATTAAAGAATTAATTTATAGAAATAAAATTGAGAGAGGTTGGAGAATGATTATAGACAAACCTGGTAGTTGTGAAATGTTTTGTAAATGATTATAAATGAAATTAAAGATTATAAATGTATTGTAAAAGATTATAAATGAAATTAATATGAGACATGTAGTATTTAAGATGATTATAAATAAAAGGATTTAATATATTTTTGATTCATTTAAATATTGTCAATTTCATTTTTAATATTTTAAAATATTTTTTTTAAAGAATAATTTTTCTAAAACTTTTCATTTATATTTTTTACTCTTCTGACTAATATTTATTAATATAATTAACATGACACTAACACGTGACACTATTAATTATTAAAAATGATGATGTGATATCTCATATGATTAGGGTCAAATAAATACTTAATTCATAAAATTTTATAATTAATCGATAACTAAAATTGTAGTAATATATAACTACTTTATTGTAGAAACATTTTTAGCTAATCAATAGCTAAAATTGTAACTAATATGCAGCTAATTAATTTTGACTTTAAGCTCACTAAAAGTTTAGCTTAAACTTGCCCCCATGCAAACACAACACCAAAGTATCAACCCATATACAAGTCTTTGCGCCTAAAAGACTTGTTGAACTTAAATATTGGAGGAACATTGAAAATACAGAGCAACAATCATTGGGAAAGAGGAAAAGCTACCAATAATATGAAGATAATGTTCCATTCGAAGGTCTGAAACCCTTAATATCTAGTCATATGGCATGTCACGCCATCATTTTTAACAGCTCGTACATCTATGTGTTAGTGACATGTCAGCTCTGTTAGCGGACGTTAGTAGAAGGGACTAAAAGTATGGATGAAAAATTATAAAGAGACTATTCTTTAAAGAAAATATTTTGGAGGACTAAAAGCAAAATTGACAATATTTAGAGAGGCCAAAAATGTGTTTAACCCTAAATAAAATGCCACTTTTCTTAAATAAGAGACACGTAAAATCTCATCGTCTTATCTTCGATCGACAATTTATAATTCTTTTCGACCAACTGGCTTATACTGAGCATATTGCTTTTCATGTCTGGTATGTACAACACATTGGAAGTTATTGACCTTTTGCCATCTTTCCTCATAATCAGAACATCACAAATACCTTCAACTGCTAGAGTATTGTCATTTACAAATTTCACCATATTCTTCATCGAGGAATTTATGTTGACAAACCAATCTTTCCTTCCAGACATGTGTGATGAGCATCCTGAGTCTAAGTATTATTGGTCCTTGAATATCGCTTCATCTCTTGTTGTGACCATCAACATCATCTCTTTTTCTTCATGTTTTACAAATTTTGCATCACTTTCTTGATTCTTTTATTTTTCTGGACAATCACTAGAATAATGACCATACTTCTGATAATTGAAACAATAAATGTGACTCTTGTCAGGTTTTCGACCACCACCTCTTCCTCTACCTGCAACACCACCTCTTTGGTTGCCTTGTTATGGGGATCTTCTCTGATTCGACATAATTCCTTCAAGCTGGTTTCCTCTATCAGTCGAATTGTTGTAACTTCCTCTACCTCTGTTGTCCAACCACTTTCATTTTCCTTTCTTTTCTTTTATTGATTGTGCTTGCAAAGCCACACCACTCTTTGTCTTGCCTGCAACTCTGTCATCCATTATTTTCTCATGAGATTCAAGTGTCCTTTGAAGCTCTTCATTTGTTAATATTGAAAAATTCTTCGACTCTTCTCTTCTATAGCTACCACCTCGTGGTCGAGCTTTAGAGCCAGTGACCTCAAGATCTTTGCTACAACTGATCTTGTTGTCAACACTTCTACATATACATTGATTTGATTCATCAGTTTCATAACCCTAGTGAAGAAAACAATTATGCTTTCACTTTCTTCCATCTGAAGCAATTTATATATTTTTTTTGTGAGTTTGTAACCTCACCTCTTTTACCTTTTCTGCACCTCCAAAAGACTTTTCCAGAAATTTCCAAGCTTGTTTCGCAGATTCTACATCATTCACCTTTTCAAAATTATTTGGACTCAGACGACGAATTATAAAGACAGCTTTATAATTCTTCTTTTTCAATTCTTTGTGTGCTTCCTCTTCTGCTTCTGATGCATCTTCTTCAAGCGGTTCTAATCCTTCTTTAACAAGATCTCAAAGATCTTAACAACATAATACAACCTTCACATGCTTGCACCAATTCTCATAGTTATCAACTTTTAGAATTAGAAGACTTGTTGAAAAATGCCCATTCAGATGATTCATTGCCATTGTGATTTTCTTGCCTTGAATCGCTCAACCAGAGCTCTTGATACTAGATGTTAGAAATTCACCAAAACCTATGGAGAATTTCTATCAATCTTGATGAAGAAGATTGTTATCAATACACAATAACAATTAAAATAAATAAAATTGAGGAAGAAATAAAATTAGGGTTTGACAAAATATGGAAGAAGATGGTGATTTATGCAAAATTTCTCTCAGACCACAAACTATAGAAAATCTTATTCACTCGCAACTGCAAATTCTGTGAATACTCTATATTACAAAATAGGGGTTACTCCCTCTATTTATAATGAGACTGCTTTCTTCCTAAGGAAAATACTACAAATACAAAAAATATCTAATTTGCTAACACTACAAAATAGGCCTAAGTCAAAGTCCTGTCGAGGCAACTCCTTCGACACTTAGGCTGCTAAATAACTTGACACACACACAACAATTTTGACACAACCTTCCTTCTATCGAGCAACATGCTGCTCTGACACAAAAAATTACAATCTCAATACACCATCTAATTTATTGTGTCTAAGCTATCTACATTACCATAACTCTTAGTCTTCTGAACACTTCGACCTACACACCTTTCGTCATGGTATTTGCAATCTGATTCTCAATTATGCAGTGTTCCAAGTTTAGCTTCCCTTTAGCTACCTGCTCTCGAAGATAATAGAACCTCATTTCTATGTGCTTGCTTCGACCATGTGCTATCGGATTCTTCTCCAGATTGATAGTCGACATGTTGTCAATCTTTATGGTAATTATTCCATGATTCTTCTTTGTAATCTCTTCAACCAGATTCTCCATCCATGTAGCTTGACATGCACAAAGAGAAGCACCTATGTACTATGTTTCACACAATGATAGTGCCACTACTGGTTCTTTTCTCGAACTCCAAGCAACTGGTGCACCACTAGCATAAACACATAGCTAATTGTAGATTTTTTATCCTTAACATGACTACACCAACTTGAGTCGGTGTATCCCACTAACTTGTATTTGTTTCCTTTATCAGTTGTAAGAAACATAATGGCATAGTCGAGAGTTCCTTTCA